GTTCAACTTCACCCTTTTTAGTGACCATTTCTTATCACTTGAGTGTGTCCCATGGGTGGCTGTCTCTTACACTTAGCAGCTTAGCAGAATATTCCCCAGTAATGCTTTGGGATCTTTAAGAGATTGGTATCTCATCCCTTCATCCAATCTCCTCATAGCATTGCTCTTTTTTTTTTTTTTTTTTTTGGCCAATTTACATGTGAACAAATATTCCCCACGACATCAGATAAGTATACAATTGTTCACTGATTATTTAAAATATATCCTTAGACTTTCTTATTTTGTGTCTCTCAATATTCTTCAAGAAAAAACAATAGGTAAATCTAGAAGGCAATTAGTTAGTGGTACCTAAGACTCTTTAACATTAGAAATTTACCCAGATTTAGATACATAAAAGAGAAAATAATCTGAATTTACATTTCAGTTTTCATATGCAATGAGAAAAATAAAAACTATTTATTAAATATAAAGACAGACATCATTTCATTAGTTGCTAGAGAAAAAAAAATGTTTCTTTAGTTTTGTTTGTTGCATTCCACAAATAGATTTTTCCAAAAAGGAAGGCTTCCCCAATAAACAAAATAATGAAAATAAGAAACCTGAGTTTATTGAAAATTTAAGTGCTTCTGAGCAATACCATTTTTCATCTTTTTAATATAAAAATCTGCCATCTTGATTGATATGCATTATTTGCTTTATGAGTTAGATAGGCGGAGACTGACATAATTTTGGAGGAAACAAAGAACTATTTTCCAAATACACAACTTTAAATTACATTTTGTTTACCACCAAATGATTCCATTTTGTAAAGGGATATTACTTAACTTCATCTTCCTAGTAATACAATTAGTAAAAATAACAAAGCAATTTATACACTTTTCCAGGATCTGGCTTTAAATGTGAAAGAAAAAACTCACCTGTATAGAGTCATTTTGCACAAAGTCACAAAGCAAAATGAATTTAAAAGTAACAGATTCCTTTGAGAGGTATATTATATTTTCTTTTTTGTTGTTCTGATTTTTAAAAAATCATTCTCCATTGAAAGCAGGGTCTCATAGCCAGCACATTTTCATTGTTTCATTTTTTTTCTTACACGATCCTGACATATTTCACATTTTGCCTTAGATATAATATTCTGCTGGAGTTTCATTTCATTGTCCACATGAATGATATTCAGTTCTATCCCAACTCTATTTCATTTCTGTGAAAGATATTGAATTTTAAAGTTGTCTTTTATAAAAGTTGTGCTCCTAACACAAATGAAACAAATTTGCAACTACAAAACTGAAAATGAAAGGGGAACATGTGGTCGGATACAAAAAAAAATAGGCTGGACCTGTGGGGTCGGTGCTGTAGATGCTACCTACCATGTGAGCATCGTGTACATGCATTAGCCTGCCTTTGTGGGCAACTAAAACTCATAGGTCTCATCCTCAGAAGCTGGAGTATACATCAGATTTTCTAGTCTCTGATGCCAAGTGTCTTGCCTGATGTTCAGCTTCATTTAGAGCAATATGAGCTAAGGTAATAGAATCCTCTTTGCAAACTTGAACATCATTATTATTCCATTCTTTTCAGGTTTGTAAAAAATCTGATATCACTAGTAACCAGCTTCATGGTTTCATCTAATCATTAAATCAAATCTAGCATTGGGTTAAAAACATAGGTAGGCTTTCATGCCCTCTGCTGGATGCTCAAGGAAAAACCCCTTAACAGTCAAGAAAAGTCTCATTTAAAAAATGAATGCTCTTTAACATAAGAAGGAAAAAAAAAAACTAGTCCTATTAGAATTAAAATCTAAGACACCAGGTTAAATAGAATTTTTAACAATTTATTGGTGAACTAAGATGTGTAAAGATTTTCAGAGGTGAGATGACAGAAAAAAATACAGGTTTATAATTTTAAATTTCCCTTTTAAATGTTACAATAATCATATAATCCAAGTTAGTTTATTATTTTCAGTAGTTTTCAGTGGACCATAAAGTGCTTCTGCTAGAATTTCTAAATCTTTGAGGGAGAGAGAGAGAGAGAGAGAGAGAGAGAGAGAGAGAGAGAGAGAGAGCCCATGTGAGCACGGAGCTGGGCAAAGACAGAGGAAGAGAATGTCACAGAGACTCCCTGCTGGGCAAGGAGCCCCACCTGGGGCTGGATCTCACAACCCAGAAATCATGATCTGAGCCAAAATCAAGAGCCCAGCGCTCAACCAACTGAGCCACCTGGGTGCCCCTTGTAGCCACTTTTATACCATCATTGTGGAAAAATACCTAGAATAGGGATTGAAAGAGCAAAATGCTCAGTCTCTGGTTTTGTCACTCATGCTAATTAGCTCTGCACATTGGGCAAGTCAGTTACCCTTCCAGAATCCAAATTTTCTACTCTGTTAAATGAGGCAGTGATATAGATATATACATATATAGATGCAGAGAGAGAAAGAATTAAAGTCACATAAGCATTTAGTTTTAAAAGTCAAATAGTACCATAAGCTCATAATAAAAGCCAGCACTTCTCTGCTCTACCCAGTCCCACATAGCATTATCTCTAAGCTTATTTCTTGAGGCAATAATTTTCAATTGTTTTAGTATTTTGCTTCAGATACTTATGACCTAATTTCCAAATTATATACTTTACCATTTTTTTAAAAAATTCTTTTAATTTTAGATATTATTCATTGACTTCCCACAATCTGATAAGGATTTCACTTTCTTATTAAACCCTGCCACCTTTCCTTATAAATGCTTCTCTCTTTCTAGCTTGCCAATATGACTAATGCCCAATGTAAAACTCGATACTAATTATTTACGTTATTCATAGCTTAACCATTTCAGGCTGGGAGGAGTTAACCCAACTTCTGTTTTTCATAGATTTGTAATTGCCGTCATCTTTTCAGTTCCTTCACTTTCCATTTACCAATTGTTAATTTATCATTACATTTTTATAATGTATTTTTTCCTTACTCGTCCCTCTTATCATCCTACAGCTATTTGTTATCATGTTCTGACTGGAACTGGCTCTTCCATGGGTTACTGACTTCCTGTAGATCATGTTCATCATCATTTCCAGAGTTCTCTTTGCCTCTCCTACCTCTAATCCTTGGGCATCTCTATATTGCTACACCACGAATTTGCTTGATTATTCTCAGTTTTATCCCTGAAGACATTTAGCAAAATGTAGAAACTTGAAACCTCAGTGAATTATGATATATCCATCTGCATCCATCTCAGATATCTCTCTATGCATTTACGAAAATCTTGATTTTGTCATCTTCTTGCCACTCTCTTTGTTCTTGTAAATTAAAAACATTTTTATTCTTTTACTATAATCTTAGTGGATTTCATAAAGGAGCAGATATGTTGAATTTACCATTTGTAACTTGAAGTTAGGAATAGGTAGTTCACAAAATTGTCATGAGAAAAACATTTGAAAGAAGTTTGTATACCCTAAACCCAGCTTACCTACCTGGGATTATTGGAGTACATTAAATGAGTTTCCCTGGGCTTTTTTCATCAGTGGACACTAATAAGATTATTTTAGAAGCACGAAGCCTTCTGTCTCCCTGGCTTTTTTTCACATTCACAGTCATAAACCCTTATCCCCATCAAATCTCATCCAGTTATTTTTGGGACTTTCCAGAGCTAGGTAATATTGTTTACAAAATTTGATTGAATATATACTAAGCACCAGAATCCTTTAGACTCTTGGATATAAATTAGTGAATAACACAAAGATCCTTCCCCTATGGATCTTCATTCCAGCAAGGGAAGATGAACACAGTTTGTAAATAGAAGTCAACTATCTATGAGTAGAGTAGGTGATAAATTCTGTGGAAAAGATGTACTTTAGGCAAAGAGGTGGGAGTGTCGGAGCTGGGAGAGGTTGCAATTTAAAGTAGAGTAATCGGGGTGGGTTTCATGAAGAAGATGACATTGGGACAGATAATTTAAGGAAGTGAAAGAGTGAAACTGTTGATATTTGGGGGAAGAGTGTTGCAGGCAAAAGAAATAGCAAGTTCTAGACCCTAAAGGACAGATGCAGGAAGGTTAGCACCTGCTAGGTCTGATAACAGTGTTCCTAGAACAAATAAGTAAGGGCAAGAGTCATAGGAAAGGAGACTTGAGCAAAGGTATTGATCCTACAGGGATAGAAATAATTTTCTGTCAACTGAATAGCACTGGGCATCTACCATGGATATCTTTGCCCCCTTTGCTCATGGCCACTGCAAAAATGCTGCAAATGTCTCGTAGCTCATTATGTAGTCAGAGTTCTCCATAAGAACATTGACATCTATGCCAAAGGTTCTTATTGTGGTTCTCCAAGAAATGCCAAGTCTCCAGGTACCAGAGAGAAAGGCTGTGGGCTCAAGAGTCCACATCTACCCATACAAAATGGGAGCCTCCTTCTCCACACTCTGCTATTACACATGCCCCACAGCTTAGGGGAGCTCCGTCAGCTTCTATCTACACTTATCTCTCCTCAGGCTGAAACAGGCAACTTTTTTGACTGGGACTTTTAATCTCTTCATTCACCCTTCACCCTTTAACTCTCAGTACCCCTGGTTTCTACTCTTGCCTTTTTTACACTAATTAAAATATTCTAATCTGGGTTTGGACACATCTGAATCTCCACTTGAGCCATTGTTAAGTTATGATATTTCTTGTTAACTCTATACAAGGCGGATATCAGATTAACACAGAGATAATAAGGCAGAGAAGGCTTCAATGTGTACCTGGAGTGGAATCCTAAACTTACTGGAGACCTCGCCATGTGTTAATGACTGTCCCTTTGAATATTGACGGAGAAACATTGACTTGGTTGTGTAGCACAAAATATAACACAGCAATGGTACATTAAAGGTCTAGTAATTTACTACTAAAACATCTCCTTGACCAAAATTCTATATGTTCACATTTTTTTGTCTATTTGTCCCTTTACAGACTATATTAATCGATTCTGGGAATTCCCACTAAAACAAGACTTGTTCCCAAATTTGGTGTTTTAGAATTTGAAAAATATTTCTAATGTTGCCAGTTGATAATCCAGAACTAAAATTGGCTTGATTTCAGAATTTCTTCATATGGAGGTGGGGGGCCTACAGTACCAAAACATGGAGCAGGGTACAGTTCAGGGTTTTGAGTGTGAAGGTGAATTCCAACAGTTGGATTCACAGCCACTTCTGTCCCTGGAAAGAGAAAAATGGGGACTTGTAATCTTTCTAGTCAGCATAAAACAGAAGTATATGAACTGCCTAATAAAATCTGGCATTTCTTGGATCACTGGAGCAACAGAAAATTATTTGTACCCTTGAGAAAAAAATTACAATCATCCTACTCTCTCTGCAGTGATAGTTTACTCATGATAGCAAGAAAATTTGCTCTCATGAGCAGATTATATCATCACTGACTAACCCATCAAGAAACATTTACAATTTAGCAGCTGAAAGTAGGAGGAATGCCCTTTTTGGTAGATTGGAAAGCAAGATTCCTATAAATACTCATGGTATTTTAGCTAACGTTTCCATCATGGAAAATGGAAATTTTAATAGAAATATTTAAATATAATGTCTGAACTTCATTATTTTATATTTATGCTCTGCAAACAACAACTAAGGTAATTAAATATTTCTCTATGATAAGTAGTAAGAATGTTAACTTGTGAAAAGTTTGCATTTAAAGTGCACACAGGTGATAAAGAAAAAAATCATCAGATTCAAAAAAATGCTTTGAAATAAAAATTTGACTTCTCAATTAGGCACACCAAGTCACTAAACATCAAAAACAAGCATTTTTTTTCCCCAAACTGATCACTTTGAGAACCTATGTACTTACTCCCACAGCTCTTTTGGAAATCTCTAGTATTTCCTTGAAAGACTGTTACTGTTTTTGAGTTACGACAGGAATCAACAGTAATATTTCATAGCCACAATCCTCTCTCTCCCTCTCTCTCTATATATATAAATATATTTTTTTCCTATCTTAGTCTTTGGCTGTCTTGAAATGATTTGATTGCTTCGTTTCAAAATAATAGCAACTATGAGTCCTAGTAACAACTATAATATCACCTTTAAAGAGGGACACCTGGTGGGTCAGTTGGTTAAGCCTCCGAAGTGACTCTTGGGTTCATCTCAGGTCCTGATCTCAGTGACCTGGGATCGAGCCCCTCCAGAGGGTCTACATTCAGACTCAGAGTCTGCTTGAGATTCTCCTTCTCCCTCTGCCCCTCCCCACTCACATACTCTCTGTCTGTCTCTCTCAAATAAATAAATAAATAAATAAATAAATAAATAAATAAATCTTAAAAAAAAATAAAAACAAATACACCTTTAAAGAAAAAAAAAAAAAGCCCCTGAACTAAATCTAGTTTTCTGACTGTTTTTTTTTTTAAGATTTTATTTATTTATTAATGAGAGACACAAGCAGAGGGAGAAGCAGGCTCCATGCAGGGAGCCTGACGTGGGACTGGATCCCAGGTCTCTAGGATCATGCCCTGGGCTGAAGGCTCTGGGCTGAGCCACCTGGGCTGCCCTCTCTGACTGTTTTTGTATATTAAATTTAATTGGGATTCAGCCCTGTTATTCATTTACATATTGCCTTTTTGCACTACTATTGCAGAAAGGAGTAGCCCCCAGAAGGACCAATGGCCTGTAAAACCTATTTCCTAACTGACCCTTTTTTTTTCACCTAAAGATTTTATTTATTTATTAATTACAGACACAGAGAGAGAAAGAGAGAGAGAGAGAGAGGCAGAGACACAGGCAGAGGGAGAAGCAGGCTCCATGCAGGGAGCCCAAGGACTTGATCCTGGGACTCCAGGATCACGCTCTGGGCCGAAGGCAGGTGCTAAACCACTGAGCCACCCAGGGATCCCCCTATCTGATCCTTAATAGAAAAGTTTAGTGACCTCTTATTGAAGGATTAAGATTTGATACCTCCAAAGAGATTCTAAAGAAAATGACACAATAATCAAAACAATTCAAGGAACAGTTAGATGTTAGGCAATGGCCATATCCTTGGAATCCATATGTAGGATACTTAGAATCTTTATGTTGGAATGGACAATGTTTATTTGGAATCATGAATTTTCATACATTTGTATTTGTATTCACTAGTTTGCAGACCTAAGTCTAATAAATCAAATATTAATATAATCTGCGAAGGGTAGAGAATTTTGACTAGAAGACTGGTTCAGCACTTTTCTTAAGGAATTATTTATTTAATTGAATAGTCTACTCCTAGGCTAATATATAACATTTTGTACGTCAAATTTTCTCCTATGCAATAAAAGCACAATAATATTACTATGTCTGTAAAAGCAAGGCTAAATGAATGTAGAGTGCTTAAAACAAAACCAGGTACACAGTAATTACCTATTAATAGCTACTTAGCATTATTATTATTATTATTGTAGTAATAACAGTGCTATATTTCAAGAACTCCACTCTATGCTAGGAATATGCATGCATTTTCTTTTATTTACAATTTTATTTTCTAATTTATTTTATATTAATGGTTAAGTAGTTATTTAATCATCATTATCCACATTATAATAGAGATTATTAAACAAAATAACTTGTGGAGTTAGAGCCCTTGGCAGTTAGGAAGTTTAGGATCACACAAGATAAGTCTGAGGCATTTGATAAAACAGCTAACATGGGCAAAGGGTATGTGCCCCAGCACTTCCCTCCACTGTGGATACTGGTCCTGGACATTGTCCTAGGTGGCCTACTCTTGGTATGTCCAGTACAAAGTCAATGGTAATTTAGCTATCATTCTGCCGGGAGTGGTCGATTAGATTGACTCGACACAAAATTATTAGCTCAAATTTATTTCTGCTGCTATTATCAATATTGTGCTCCTGGCAAGAGGATATTAGCAATTGCTCTCTGTGGTAGAAAAGTTTTATGTTATCACTTTACTACAAATTTGGCCAATTGCTCTTAAACCTGCTGGGAAAACCACAGGGCATTCATTAGATAAACATAACTAGCCAAATGTGTTCAGAAAGCTTTTGTGAAACCAAACATGTATTTAGTTTTCTATTTTTTTTCAAAGCAGGTTTACATGCATTACAAGTATCCTCCACTTTTTGAAAGTTCACATTACTTCACTTCGTTTTCATGAAAGTCTGACATTAGTACTGGTTTTTGCTACCCAAAAGAAATTTGAAGAGGATTTTGCTTTTACCAAAAAGGGTGAAAAGTGACAAGTATTCAGTATTTGTTTTGCAGTCAGCCGCTATGGAGGCAGCGTGCACCTGCTCTGGAGAGTGGCCCCACTCAGCTCCTACCCTGGCCACTGGATCAGCATCTCAGCATCACGGCTCCATGGCTTTAAAGTGCATCTGTGAGCATCTATCTGTGCTTTATCTTGACTTCCTTTGTCCACCAGTAGCAAGATGTGTCCTCAGGAATCCCAAAAGCCGAAGAGAGGTTATTTTTGAGGTCTGGAAACACTCAAAAATTTTTCCGTATAAATTAATGGTAATTAATTCTCCACTTTATGCCATTCTAGGTTATGAAAGGCTTGCTTTTGGGTAGAGGGGGAAACCTGTATCGTGTGATTGGTGGCGGTGGTGGGGTGAACAGACATTATTTTTATCTTTTGACAAATTAAGAACATGGAAAAATGCAGTTCAAATGCCTGCAAGAATTTGATGGTTTTGACAGAAATGTTGGCAAAGGTATGAATTTGTTGTTTAATTTTGTGAAACCAATATACTCACTGCCGAGTTTTTATAGCCAGAGTTCAGAGTTCCCACATCATTAAGGTCAGTCCAATAGACCGGCCCTTATTTGAACATGGCCCTTCCGCCTCTTTCTCCTCTTTTCATTTCTTTATCTAATTCCTTCCTCTCTGTGAGAGTGGTTAACAGTGCCTGAATATGACTCACAGTTCTACCATGGGCTAAATGTTTAATTTCTAGGTGCCTTGCTTCCCTCATCTTTGGAGGGTTCAGAATAATAGTGAATCCCTCCTCCCATTGTAGAGAAAAAGAAATGAGACTAGAGATGTCAGGTGTTAGCACAGAGCATGGCATACGGTACATGCTCAATTAATGTTGAGCTGTTACTACTATCATGCCCTGAAAGGAAAGTATGTGAATGAAATGCTCCCTCTTTCCCTACCTAAAATGAGTCACAGACTATTTACATAAAGAACATAAAGTATAGAAAAATAACACTTCAGAAATGATCCTAAAATAAGACAGGATCCTGGAGAGGTGAGGGAGAAAGGAGCTGGCATGTAAAGGCCTGGTTCTTCTCTGTCCCTATCCACACCTCCTTCCCCTTCCCAATTCAGAGCCCTGACATTTCATCATTGCTGAAAGACTAGTATTTCTATTTACCCTAAAGTAAGAAAAAGGGAAGATTATCTCTGAAATTGAAGAAGAAATGGGGTCAGGAAGATTGAATCTCTGAAAGGCAGCATTATCAAGGAGATCAGCCCCCAAGATGAGTAGCCTCAGGAGGGGTATCTCTGGAATTCTCAGGAATGGCATGGAAACTGTTTGCTGTCCTGGTAAGGCTAATAGGATGGAAAAGGAGTCAATGTAGATTATATAGTAATTTATTATTTTTATTAAAGAGTATGGACAGATAATTGGGGGGATGTCTCCTCTATGCTCTCAAATTCTTTTCTATGAACACTAGATTGTTTTTTCTGCCTCAAGCCCTTTGTCCTTCTCACACCTACAAGACCCCAAACTTTTTGCTTTTGTTATCCTTAAATGCCTTATTTTCTCATAAATAAGTGCTTTTATTCAGCATCACAACCTTATTTTCAATGAAAATCTATTTTCAGTAAATTAACAAAAGATCTTTTTTGTTTATAGCCAACTTTACAACTCCTTTGTCATTACTGATTTTTTTTTCAAATACAGATTTAACACATAAAACCATTAAACTAACAAAATCAAAACTTTATCTTTTGCTTTTTTAGGTCACTTGTATTTTCTACATATTCACCCTGTCTCACAGTCCTGGATCTTATAAAGTAGGGGCATTTAATCCGATTTGGGGTACAGATGAGTATAGAGAGTTTAAACAATGTTCTCTTCTTTCCCACCTTTACTAAAAATTTGCATACGTTCTTTTAAAAATTCACTTCCTGTGGCCCAGTGTGTGTTCTCTCCATTTATACATTGAGGGAGGGGAACCCTGCAAATCTCCTGTTTCCTATGGATTTCTCAGATAAAAGGGATCCCAAAAGCATCATTAAAATAGGTAATATAAGTTCTAAGAAAATATCAGAAGAGAAATGTTTGCTCCTAATCCAAGCGCGGAATTATTCTAGAATTGTTAGGGTCTGATGGCTTGAGAGAAGAGATGAGAGGCCTCAGAGAGCACTTCACAGACAACCCCACTCAGAAAGGTGTAGGGCTGGACAGGTCCTTTCTGGGGGACAGCAGGGATGCTAAGGGACAACTAGATCCAGGAGATGAGTCTGGGGTGGGGAGGGCAGACAGGGTGATAATGGAAGAGGCCTCTGGGAGGCCGCCCCTGAGACTGGGCCCAGGAAGAAGTGGGCCCGAGACAGAACAAAGTAACATGACTTTAAGGCTTGTATAAAATAAATAGTTACCAATTTGATTCCTCAAAATACCTCCAGCCTCTAATTGTAGATTCCTTCTCGTCTTGCCCTTCACCCTTCTCCTTTCCCTCCACTTTCTTGACTTCCTTCCCTTTTTCTCTAGAAGCAATCCTCTTCCTCCTTACCTTCCATGGAGGTATTGAAGGGATTTTTGTTCCCTTTTTGGTGCATGAAGAGCTTCACTGTGACATGTTATGGACATGGTAATATAGATCCCATGAGAGGGGAAGGAAGCCTGAGAAATCTGAGCACTGGGTCAACAGAGAATTGTGAGAAGGCAGAGAATTGTGAGAAAGCCCACTAGATGGAACCAGGGTCTGGGTGTTTACATGAGATTCCCAAGGACGCTTCCCAGATAGAAATCTCATGGTGCATTGGATGTGCTGGGCTGGCAAGGCCTTCTTTACACACCGTTTATGAGGATCCCAAGCCGTGTGTTCACCTTTCTCTCTTGAATATTTCTAATCAAGATAATTGACAACCTGAGTCATAAAAATACTGCCTGGTATTGCTAGTGGAAGAACTTTCCTATTTTATAGATTTTAACAGCAGTAAAGTTCAATCCACCCTGGCTTCCTATATTCTGTCAAAATTCTCCTCCTGGTTCTTCATGTGAGGGCAGCTTCCATGGGACTGTGAGAGTCAAACCTTGGACCCACAGGTCAGAAGAGCAGAGCTATTTCAACTAATAGATTCGACAAATAGTGGCAATAGTGTGGAATAATTTTTAAAGGAATAAAATTAAGGTCAAGGAAGAACCCCAAGGTTAATAAAGCAAATCTAGTCTCTCCATTAAAATGCTTTAAATGACCCATTTACTACATTCTGTATTCAGGAGGGAATGTCCTATCTTTGTGCTCAAAGGGTGGCAGGGAGTCCAGAAACCATATTTCATATTCTAATGTCACCAGTGTCTTTCAAGCGAGTTCTCATTTTCCTCTCCCCTCTGAACTGTGACCATGAAGAAGACTCAGAGGTACAACCCACAACCAGCAGTGTGGGTGTGTGAATCCAGCAGTGATTGGACTCAATTCGAAGCTAAGAGCACATACTTTGTATGGTACAGTGGAAATTTTGGCTCTTACCTCCCCTGTAGCCATAAAAAAAGATCCTGTAGTGCTTTCCTTTTGGAGAAAAGGTCCTTTTACAGAAATATTAGGGAAGAAGAATCACTTGTTGGGAGAAATGAAAGTGTCATGGAGATCCAGTGAGGAAAAGAAATCCAGTTTGGCTCTGGGCTTCAGATTGCCTTAAAATATTGACTCCCTAGAATTTACTTCCAGAAATTGCTAGTCACTAAAGATCACAGAGAATACCACTTCCTAAATTACTCTGTTATATTTTGTTTTGGAGAGGAAAAACGGGAATGTCAGGAAGCACAACTCTGGGAGATACATTCATATCAGAACGCCGTATGGCTCTTCTGAGCATCCCTGGGACAGGATGGCAGATGGATGGTGGGCAGGACAGACTAACAGCCAACTAGGCAAGAGAAAAATAGATAGATAGATAGATAGATAGATAGATAGATAGATAGATAGACAGATAAAAAAATAAATACGGGAAACTGAGGCTTGGCCCTAAGACAGAAAGCAACAAAACTGAGTTTTGTAATATAACTTAAGCTGGGAGAGAGTTTCAATGTTTATTTGAGCAAAATAAGATTCAGAGCATATCAGTGGGATTAGGGAGGAACCAATAGAATGAGAAAAGGAATGAGGATTCTGCAGAGGAATCCCTACCTTTGAGGAACCACCCAATGGAAATGTCTGAGGTTTGAGATACAAAAGTTGTACTTAGAGTAGGAGAGGAGGTGACTAAGCCATGAGTACCCCGCCCAAGTTTTCACCCACTCCTTATCCTCAATTGCAGACGATTTGAAGGCTATTTGTTGGCTTGCAGCAAAGATCTATGTGGTATATTTATCTAGCACAGTGAGAAAAGTAGATAACATCTTTTGAGAGGAATAGTAGCCAAATTTCCTGGTTGATATTTACTAACTAGAAATCATATCTGAGAAGCTTCTAATCTAGTGCCTAGCTCTTGGTAGATGTGAAAAAAAAATGTGACTATATTTTTTTAAATAATTTCTTCCCAAGTATATTCTTTTCCTGTCCACAGTGACTTCAGTGTAATATAGAGAATGTGATTCTAATGCCCTGCATTTGGGATGATTACATGCAGATTATTGCAGTAATCTATCACGTTTGACATCTTCTCTCCCAGTCATACCTGTTCAGGCTCGTCTGGCACATTCAAAAGCATTTGTATAGATCACCATGCAGGAAATATAAAAACATTAGATAAATAGGGATATAACTGTGGCACATAGGTTGCCTTAAAAATGGTAACAGTAAAACTCAGTAGTTTACTTAAAATTAAGAAGAGAAGTTTTTAAAGATTAGGATAGTTAGTAAAAGAGTCTTCTTCAGAGTGCGTAAAGGGCTAAGAAGACTAGAGTGGATTTTCCTCCTTGGAAACTTGAGTCAAGCTGGAGAAATCATAATTACATTTATTTTTTAACTACCTCCAGTTAAATAAAGAAAAATAGACTAATGTGACCATGTGGACCCTTTTGACTAATACAATTTATTAGAATGTCAGTGACCCTATTTCATCCTATGCTCAATAGAAAGTGTTCGATTTTAGGAGAAAGATTATTTTTTCATTGGAGACTTTAATTATCCTTCCCCAAATAACCATTTCTCAAATTGACATGTGTTTCTTTTGTTAAATAATGACTTTTTAAAAAGCCAATAGTAAATATAGTCACTAGATCTTAGAGTACCGAGTTTTGACATTAAAACATTTAAGTTTTTTTTTTCTTTTTTACCCTACTTTTTATTTAGCTGTTGGTTTTCCCAGAGTATGCCTTGCTCCATCTATTGAAAATCTATGCTGACCCAAGTTCCTGAAGGGCAGCTGTTAATCTCTACCAAGCCCTCTTGAGGCCACTATTATGGTGTACAAGACAGCACCTCAGAGGGAAAGTTTCATAACAGATGGTCTGCTTGAGAACAGTGCTTAACACAAAGAAATAATCTATGATCTGTGATCTCCCGGAAATCAGTAAGTGATAATTTTGTTACTTACAGCCAAGGCTGGTAGTTACAAATAACTCTAAAATCTGGGTTTCCTCCATTCCTTACTCTCTCATGCAGACTAGAAAATAACAGGATGGGCATGGTTTGGGGTGGGGGTGGGGGTTAGAAGCAGGCAGGATGGGGTTGCTAATCGTGTATCTGAGGAGAAAGGACATGAATATTGACATCCGCCTGCCCAATTCCAAGTATTTCAGGCTGTGCATCGGTAGCAGACAATCTGGAAAGTGTGGTTCAATGTTATTGCAAATATATGAGGCATAGAGAACTTAGTAAATGAGACTGTGAGCACGGGGGCGGGATATTCTGCTATTAAAGGCCCAGAGAGGTTCTTGCATACCTTACACCCTACCACTCACTTGGAGTGACTGGCCCTGTATAGCTCTTCTCTTTCGCATGTTGACTGAGCAAAATGTTGAGGTTCTACCCCCTACTCAACTATGGGTCATTTCCCTAAGATACATATTTTTCTTTTGAGGTCTCCTTTCTTCTGAAGTTTTCTCACTTAGTCTCTCTCCCCACTGCATGCCTTTGAGTCTCCAATAAACTATGCCTTGTTCTCAGTTCACAAATCTGCTTTCCAGAGGTTAGTTTTTCAATTCACCACAAACCACTAGGTTCCAAACAGGAAGTCTGGAAGTGTTCAGACAGCTTACCATAAACAGGATCCAAGTCTCCAACAGCAAAAACAGCCATCGTGCGTCTTGGAGAATCCATTCGGGGTCTCCTCAGCCAGCAGTGGAGGCAGAGGAACACTACTCCACAGAGAAGAGCCACCAGGAAAATCAGCAGCACGAACCTGATGCCAGAAGAAGCAGTAAAGGAGTGAGGTGGAGCATCCAGGGGGGTTCCGAAAGAATTCCTGCTGCTTCCTGGAAAGAGGGCAAAAGCTCCACGAGACAGGATGCAAGAAATCTGTGGGGCCCAACTCCTTAAGCAACCCCCCACCACAACTCATACATTCTCAGTAAACCTGGAATGTTTGCTTTGCTCAGTGTGGGTCGATCTTGCCAGGTGATGATGATCATTTCCTCTGGAACTTGAAGGGTTGTTCTGAGGAGCAGTGTCGTTGTCTGTTAATTCATTCATCTACTATCCCTATTTTTCAGCCAGCCATGTATTCAACCAGTATGTGAGCAACTGAACAGATTTTAGATGTGAGGGTTGGGGGTTGAAAAGTAGACAAGACAGGAGCTAACCACCTAATTGAGAGAACTAATAATGTTTAGTTAAAAAAAATACAGAAGTCATGATGTAGGGAGTGTATAATGACTGTCTTATAATTTCTGAAGGACTAGCTTTAAAAAGGTAGCAGTCTTATTTTGAAGGTTTTTAAGACTTTTGAAATAAGTAGTAGAGAGATTTAAGGAGATTTCAAAAGAAAGAACATTTATTTTACTGTTGAATTTCTCTATTTTGGGAGTAAACTATTATCCCTAAAAACAGTTACGGTCCCTGTCACTGGAAGTACATAAGTAAACACTAGCCATAACCAGAAAGTGATGTTTCCACGTATATTGCATGATCCCTATAATTTCCTTAACTGAATGATTTCATATTATTTAGGAAATGAATTATTATTTCAGTTATTTAGGAAATAGAGTATATATGTACCACTGAAAGTTTTATAACAAATTGAGGATGTCCTTACCAGATATACCAGCCGTTTGTGTATTGATCTTTATAGTTTACACACCTGGTGGTAAAAGAAGAATAGTTAATGCTGGGCCTCTAGACGACCAAAGTCTATTCTCTCGAACCATAATGTTTGTTCTGACCATACCTGTTTCCCCAAAACGATCATGTATTCTCTGCAAACCATCCCCAGTACAATGAAGCAAATGTTTAAGGTATGCCCACTTCATTTAGGACACTGAGAATAGAGGTAAATGTGGAACTGTCAGACAATGTACGTAGATAACTGCACTGTAATAGGTTTGATTCTAGAGTCACAAATGCGGTTGTGTATTGAGAGCCTGGTGACTACCTTTTTAGGACTAACGTGTCATAGATATTAGGCATTAGGGTTCTTTAAAATGCAGATTCACTGGGGAAGGTTTAGGATCTCTTGTTAACCTTTGATAACTTGGCAGAGAGTAGCAGGCAGCAGACCTGGTTAGAGGGAAGAGGTCAGGGAAGAGAGGAAAGGAATGAATGTGGCCACACGTGCCATTTACCAAAAGAGAGAGGGGCTGATTTCTTGCGTCAGGCTGGTCAAACCATTTGTGTGCCTAGGCATGATTCAGTCATTCCTGGGATAAGTTTTGAAAAGCATCCTCACATGAAAACAAAATTTGTAGTGTGATTTCCAGGAGGTGTAACTCCCTGGGTGTAGACACTTACGTGCCATTCCCTGCAGAGTCCCTCACTATGTCAGGCACAGGGAATACACATTTTGCTGATAGACTTGTTTCTTACTTCAGTACATGAGCTATTGTTGAAGCATTCTGGGATTAGACAGTGGAAACCTGTTCACCACAGCCCGATAAGCCTCTGAGTTGGAGCTGTACTTAATCATAGCTACTTCAGCCTTTGTTAAAATAACACTCAGTACTTCTCAGCTTGACAGCACTCATAACTGTCAGCTCATTTATTGCTCCAAGTATCTCCAAGGAGGCAGTGTATCATGTTTATCATTAGATAAGTCAGAAGTGACTTTTTAACATATGTGAAGCGTCAACGTAAAAATTTTACCTCAAACATTTAAGAGGAAAGTTAATCATCCAGAGAACAAGTTTTGTTTTGTTTTGTGTGTACGTGTGTGTGTGTGTGTGTGTGTGTGTGTGTGGAATCATTTAAAGACACAGGTACAGGGATCCCTGGGTGGCGCAGCGGTTTGGCGCCTGCCTCTGGCCCAGGGCACGATCCTGGAGACCCAGGATCGAAACCCACATCGGGCTCCCGGTGCATGGAGCCTGCTTCTCCCTCTGCCTATGTCTCTGCGCCTCTCTCTCTCTCTCTGTGACTATCATAAATAAATAAAAATTAAAAAAAAAATAAAGACACAGGTACAAATGGCTGGGTAAAAAAGTGGCAGTTGAAGTATATCTTTAAAAAGCATCCTAAGACAAGCAATCATCAATAAAGGATTTTACAAGTAATTAATGGCATGTCCTTATAAAGGAATATCATCCAGTCATCAAAAAGAAAGAATGTAGATTCATATTTATAATTAAAAGCTTTGTGAAGGAAAATAATATAAAGGGCTTAGTTTGTATATTTTCTTTTACATAAATGAAATGCTTTCACTAAATAGGCGTTATGTAGTAGTATACTCATATACACCAAGTTGCAAGAATGCTTACTTCCCTTGCAGGTGGTATCATGAGGCACTTTATCTTTTCCTTATTTCCATATTGTTTGATTGTACAACGCATCACTTTTTAGTCATAAAATTTTTAAATAGTATATTAAAATATATAAATCTTAAACAGACAGTGTCTTACCCTAAACATGGATGTAGGGAAATTCTCTTGGTGTCCTAGTCCAATAAAAGAGCAGAATGTTCCTATCTGGAATCTTGAAATGTAAGTGCATAATCTGGGGGGTGGGGATTGCTTCATCTCCCTCCATTATAAATCTCTGCTTACCCTCTCTACATTTAAAAATAGACCATATCCTTATCATAATGTCAATTCTAAAGATTAACTACCTCAATTTCTTTCTCAGTTCTTTAATTTTTAAGACGCTCTGTATTTTTTGCCAGTTATATCCAAATTGACTTATTTCACTTTCTCTTTCTGATCCTATGCACTCACTGGTAGAGTTTCTGATATGCAATAAATAAAATGGCCAAGAAGGAGTTAGCTGGATAAATGCAAAGTGATCATGTAATTTCCAAATTGCAGGCACCTTTGGAATAATTTAGTTCACTCAGGAATCTACACTCTCTACAACTGAAACTCAGAGTAGGAAATTTGGTGGGGAAGTCACTAGCTGGTCAAAGAATTTAAACCAAATTACAAGTCTTTTCACTGTAGGCTTCCTCCTCCCCTACCATTATTTCCATGTGTTTCTCCAGGTCAATTTTTAAAGATTCATTTTTTTTTTCTTTTAAGTAGGCTCCACACCCAACATGGGGCTTGAACTCATGACCCTGAGATCAGGAGTCACATGCTCTACCAACTGAGCCAGCCAGATGCCCCTTAAACAGTTCTTTAAGTAAAAAAAAAAACAAAAAAACAAAAAACAAAAACAAAAAAAAAACAGTATCTGAATGATAACAACATTCTAATTGCTCAGATTTTATTTATAATTTATTTTATTTTATCTTTTATTTTATTTTTTTTAGTTGCTCAGATTTTAGATGCAAGATGTTCGGTGTAGGAAAAGTTACTTTTTTAAAAAAATGAAGTTATTCCTCAGAGATTTATATACAATTGGTCAAACTGGGATAATGCCAAAAATGAAAGACATTCAGGAGACATGAGAACCAACTATGATGCCTAAGGGAGACACATTCCTAATCACCACCAGTTCGGTTACTGAAGGATTTTTGCTGTTTTTACTAGAAGACTACTGTCCTATTTTCTTGGATATTGTAGACACGATTCTTCCTACGAGGATTATTAGCCTGGTTGATCTTTATTATTCTTCTCGGTGGTGAGATTCTGTGGATCTAGGATTAACTACAAATTCTTTAACTTGATCAATTCAAGAAGAAAACTGCAGAGTTGCTCTAGTGTCCCCTTTGCTAGAATCACCCAGAACTTCCTGTGCCAGGAATTCTTCTAAACCAGTTATATAACTTCATGGGAATTAACTCACTTTCAAAATCACAATGCTATGAGGTGAGATCACAATATTATAATCCTCATTGTAAAATTGGGAAAATTCAGGCATGAAGTAGCTTGCCCAAGGTAACAAATCTACAAGTGACAGAGTCAGGTTTCACACCCAGATGGTATGGCTGCAGAGCCTGTGTCTCTTACCACCATGCAGCACCACCACTGGGCACTGGGAACAGTAAAAGCCAGCTCTGGCCTCACATTAGTATGTGGAGTACTACCTGAATGCATTCAATATCTGTATTCTAAAATGCTTTAAAATATTAGAAATACAAAAAGTAATGGAAGTGAAAGCATGGAGGAGATCACACAAAGAAAATAAGCCAAGAATGAGATCAGTTTTTAAACTGAATGGAGTAAACCCCATATGCAAAATTTAACCCAACTCGAGATCTGGCTTAGGCCTTCTAGCAGTTAATAGGATGAGAGAGAGATTTGGTTATATAGCATCCTCTAAAATTAACAAAATCATGCAGCATTACTCACCAGATGCACAACTATTCCTGGAGTAGACACCAGAGAAGAATTCAAACTATGGGGCTTTACGAAGAGGATACTGTTGGCAATAGGGATGATGTTTTTCATATGCTCTTAGAATAAATGCAATAACAAATTTCATGGGTCTTTCTCTTTTTTAAAGCATCCCTTAGGGTAGGCAATAGTGCAATTTAGCTACAATAATCTGGGAGAGAGATGGGTGCTCTATCATATCACCCAGAGACTGGTGCCTTGACCTAATTAATCTGGGGTAAGTTGTATAGTATCTAGAAGAATAGATGAACTATATGTCTCTCAGGTATTTCACCCAGTGTATAATTTTATTTAATACTGGACATACAATATGACTTCATAGTCAAAATTGTAATACATATATAGTAGTGTAGCAGTACATTTAGTGTACATATATGTATGGTACATACACATACTTTGTAGTATAAAATTCTGGCCCGGGAAGTCAGTCCTGGTTCCAAATACTTCAAGCTCTGTATTTTTACTTGTTTAATCTTGAGCAAAACACTTAACTTTCTCAAGCCAGGTAAGACAATAACATATTAGGAATCTATGAATGCAATTAATTTACAGAAGCCTGTGTATGTATGATCATATTTATTATTTATTTGTAAGTTACCCTATTTATGAACATATATGCACATCAGTGTATTTGCTTGTTTTGGGAGGGAAAAGGATTAGGGGTGTAATGCGGAGGCTCTATCATATTTTTTCCCATATACTACATTACTTAGAGTAGTTAAGTTTTTTTTTTTAAGATTTATTTTATTTATTTATGATAGAAATAGAGAGAGAAAGAGGCAGAGACACGGGAGGAGGGAGAAGCAGGCTCCATGCCAGGAGCCTGACGTGGGACTTATCCCGGGACTCCAGGATCACACCCTGGGCCAAAGGCAGGCGCTAAACCGCTGAGCCACCCAGGGATCCCCAGTAGTTAAGTTTTATACCAAGACAGACTAAATAATGCATTGTTCAAATTAACGAAATGCTGTTATAAAAATAAACTGAGTAGTTTAGATCAGAAAAAAATAGTTTGGGTTATAAAACAAATATAAATAAAACTAATCATCTTTCAAATACCTTGTGGTGGCAAAAGATTTGGGATAGCATCTCTCTTCAGTACAAATACTTAATACCACCTCTGCAAAACCAGCTACTTTCTTCCCTTCCCTTTTTATTCTATGCCAGTTTGTATTTTACTTGAAGTGGTCTCTCATTCAAAAGTAATGGCATTAATGACAACCACAACAGACACCTACATGCAAAGTGAGGTAGTTAAAAAAGAATTGTAATTAAGTACTAGTGGAAGCTCTCTGCATTAATTTGCTGCTGTCTTTCTTTGAGTCTCAATTTCTTTACCTGAAAAGGAGACCAGTAGCCTCAGTGACTCGAAAGTCAGCTTTTCAAGGTCCTCAATAGCATATTTTCCTGTCATATTGATTGAAGCACTAGATTCAACATTTGTGATCCCTTCCAATTATGAATTTCTGTATTCTATTGTTCTGGGTCAAAGATAGAAGGTGATTGGGCAAGATGAGTCAGCCAGGAGGTCCACAGTTAGGTAAGTACATCAGTCATCAAAAACTCCGTTATGTCACAAACTCTTGAAGGCAGAAAAAAGTGAGTCCAAAATCAATGCAAAGAAATAGCAGTGGAGAGCCACGCAAAAGCTAGAAGAACAGCACGGACTCAACGCACAGATGATCAATAACGAGACGATCCACAAATCAGGTGAGTGGTTCCAGCGCCAAGGAAAGCATTCCACATAGCATGGCCTCTTAATCTGGAGGCAGTGCCCAGGCCTTGAGACCCTGGCCTTGAGGGTAACAGGCAATAATAATTGAAAACAGTCAGGTGGCAGTCAGGGCTGCACCCAGGAGAAGACCACGCTTGGCAGACGTGCTTTTCTGACACCTGTACTAAGTCGCAGGGCATTACAGCTCTAATTAATCATCATCAGCATTATTAATGACACCTTCTCCCCATCTCCCGAATATAATTCTGGGGACCATTAAGTCTACAGCCCAAAAAGTGAAAAAATTAAGTCAATTATTCATATAATTTATATCAAACGCACTTTGAAAGGTACACATAATACAGGTGAGACTCTTGGTCAGTTTGCTTATATTTCAAACTGAATATCCAGAAAACGGTGGCCCACCAACACTGTGATTTATGAGTGTGGACGCATCCAGAAATGACATTGTGATGCTTTCATGAACCTAAAGAACCCTTGACGCCACTATGGTGGAGAAAGCAGGAACAAAAATACCTAGAAATCAATGAGGCCCCTTATATTTACCAAAGCTAATCATAATGAAAGCATCTTTTTCCTGCTTTTAGAAAAATTGAGCCATTTGCATTTAAAAACAATTTGCTCTTACTTTTCTTGCATGATTATAATCATCATTTGAGACTCATTTGGGGCTTCTCAAATGACTGGAGCCTTTTTTTATTCTTTGAATTTTGAAAATGCTAAATAAAAACATGGAGCCTCTTGCTATTTACTTACATTTCATTTTCTTCACATGGTGGGTCCGAGAGCACCAACTGAAACACATATTTAGAACAATAAAATCCAAACATCTCATCAGTCTAATCCTTTAATAAAACAGCGCTGAGAGACAATGTGGGTTTATATCATTTCCTTTTTTTTTTTTTAATTAAAAGCTCCGTAGCAGTGTCTATTATTGGTGCACAGGATTTTAATTGAAAAAAAATCTCCTGGTAGATTCTCTACCTCAGCTGTGACAGGAGATATATGCTGTGAGCCAGATTCCTATCCTACACACTCACGTAGATGGATGTGAAAATGTCTTTTGTTCTTTCTATAGGCAGATTTTGCTTGTTCTTAGGACCTTTCTTGCACCTTGTATTTTTTCTTTGTTTTCACATTTTAGCTAAGCGAAGAAAGTTCATTATTTGAGAGTATTATTTTCACAGAAAGAAATCAAGATCCCTATGTGAAAACAGAAGTCTATCCCATTAGCATTAATGGGTGTTAAATATATGCATGAAGGAGTGACTTTAACTTGCACTAAGGCGAAGGTCGATTTAAAATTACATGACATTCCTGTTGAGATTTACATTTCTCTCTTTATCAAAGAAGAGAGAAAAAAGTAATAACCTTGATTGCTTTGTTTTAAACGACCCAAACCGTAAGCATTTCAATATAATTATCCTAGTTGTCCGCATGGAGCCTTACAGGTTACAATAACTCACCTCACAGAGGAAAGTATTCCCACCATTCCAGAGGTTTTGTTGGTAGGTTTGTTTTGCCCTTGAACTGAGACTCTTTTCATACACAACAAGAAAATCTTTACATGTCATTTATATGTAGTCCTAAAACTTGGGTTAATGAGATCAGTGAAGTATTTATTTTTCTGGAGTATACAAATATGAATACAAGTGTGAAATTACAAAATTTAAAATGATAGGCTTCGGAATTTTTGTGAGCTATGTCTTTTTCCTCCTTTAATCCCAAATGCATCCCCTTGAGCACCTTATATTTACTCCACCAAGTTTATCTGGGCAAAGAGATTTGTGGAGTTGCAGATGGAGCCATGAATTGGCCATCAGAGAGCATGGTAATGAACAATTTATAAGCACAGAAAATGAGTTGCACTCTCTTTTGCTAGAATGCTGCAAATAGATTTGCATACTAACTGAGAGGAAAATGAACATTCAAATTTTGTTCATAAAGAAAGTTTATTTATGAGTAGATGAAGTCATTTGGGATCCAGCTTAACAGATAAACAAATAAAGCACGCGTTTCACTTTCAAGCCCCCCCCCTAGTCTTACATGCTACCCCCTACCTAGCAAGGAGTCCACAGTCTTCCATTATTCCCACCTCCCTGCCAATGCACTAGCCAACAGACTTCGGGGTTATCATGAAATGGTGGGCAAGACTGAAATCTTTCAGATACACTGCATTCAAGTAACACAGATACAGAGATGCAGGTTATTAGTCTGAATGAGATGCTAAAGCAGAGGAACCAAAATAAACTCTGAGATGGTTCTGTCTCCATTGTTTAGCATTAAAAAACAATCTAGCTTCAAGTATGGTGGCAGGCAACAGTAAACATGTCTTAAATTAATCCTGCATCATTTTGATATATCAATAGCATTTTTTTTATCTTAAAAGAATTACAGCCAAAAGAAAAATTACAGCCTAGTAAAGTTAAGCAAAGATTGAATTGTGTCATATTACTTCAATAGCAATAGAACTAATGAAGAAGACATGAGACTAATGAAGTGGACCATTTCGTCATCTGTATTCCTCACCAATAAATATAATAAGTCATAAGATGCTGGGAGCATTCTCTTAAAGGAAATCTGTTAAATGTGAAAGTAGTTAAGTTACTCAAAGAACAAATCTATGACGAGTCAGGCTCTTAGAGTACCTTCGAAAATCTTTTCCCAGAAAAAGAGATGGTTACCTGGAATAGCAGCAAACATGAGGTTCCTGTTTTTGAGATCACCGAAGTAAAACTAAAAGGTCTGGATCCCAACATACTTAAAGAACAAGCTGCTTGAAGCCAGTGGTTTGCCCTCTGTGTTGATCTCTTTCTTTCTCTAGAACTTGTTAGCCTCTAAGTTATGCTTCCTACCAGACTGCTCGTTAATGATGCTCCTTGTGACTGGTAATGTGCACGCAGGGGGCAGGCATGTGGGGTGCATGCTCACAGGTACCCAGAGTTCAAGGAATTTCAGTGTAAGGTCAGAACCCTGGCAGTGTTTGTCAAGCCCTGAGAAGCAAGGGTTATACACGCTGACCTGAAAACTAGCTGGCTGCTTAAATAACTCAGGACATTCAAGAGCATGTTTTATTCCAGGGCATTTCTGAGTTTTATACAGAACCTGGTACTCAGAATGTTCATTTAGTTTTCTTCCCTTTTTTGGCCCTTTTAGCTCTTCTTTCCCTATATATCATTTTCAGTCCCAGGCCCAACTCAACCTTGGGCATAAAGCTTTCCTTGTCTCATAATGATTGCGTCCTACTTTTAAACAGTGCATATTTCAAAGTTTAATGAAACAACTCCAACACAGCTGCCAAAAAATAAAAATAAAAGTTTGCAAAAATATCCAGGGACATTCTGAAAAAGAACAATAAAGTGGCACAAAGTTACTTTATATTAAGACTTATTAGAAAAGTATATAAATTTACAATTGGTACAGAGACACATAAAGCAATAAGACAAATATAATAGAACAGAATTCAGAAACAGATTAAAATAAACAAAGATTTCAGCTGCCACTTCAAGCCAGTGAGGAAGGGACATTATTCAGGGAATGATGAAGCACTGAGTGGTTGGGTGGAAAGAATGTAGCAACTTATTTGTAAGGTGCTTAACCGCACTCATAATTAAAAAAATATAGCTTCCAATTAGAATGGCAAATTGAAAAAAAAATGATAATAAAAAGAGATAGCTATGGGGAAGCAAGTCCTCTCTGACATGGTTGGGAATACTGTCCAGCCTCTTTGGAAGACAGTTAGGCAACACATATTAACCTAAAAATTGAATATATCTGTTGGTCAGGAATCCTCTTTCCAGGAATAAATCCTACAGATACTATATAGGTAGCACAAATAATTACCTGCAATGATGTTCACCAAAACAATGTTGATAATAAAATATTTGAAACAGCAAATGTCCATCAAAATGAGGCTGTTTATTTAAATACAAAAGGATTATATCCGCTCATCAAATACTAAGCAGCTGTTTAAAAAGGTGTGGCAGTGGCATCTGGTTGACTCAATCAATAGAGCACGCAACTCTTGATCACAGGATTGTTGAGTTCAAGCCTCACGTTGGATATAGAGCTTACCTAAATGAAAGGAAGGAAGGAAAGAAAGAAGGAAGGAGGGAAGGGAGAGAGGGAGGAAAAAAGAAAGGGAGGAGGAGGGGGGAGGGGGAAAGAAAGAAAGAAAGAAAGAAAGAAAGAAAGAAAGAAGAAAGAAAGAAAGAAAGAAAAGAAAGAAAGAAAGAAAGAAAGAAAAAAGAAAGAAAGAAAGAAGAAAGAAAGAAAGAAGAAAGAAAGAAAGAAAGAAAGAAAGAAAGAAAGAAAGAAAGAAAGAAAGAAAGAAATAGAAAGGTGGGACAGGTTGCAGATCCTGACATGAAAAGGCCTCCAAGAGTTATCATTAAGTAAAAGGAATAAATTGTGGGACACTGTGTACATCCTGCTAGTTTTTCTGTAATAATTAGGGAAATATAGCTGTAGTGTTTTCTCTCCATGAAAGATACACACATATACTCATATGTGTATAGAATGTCTCTGCTTAAAACTATCAACAGTGAGTTTTTCAGTATAAGGGGAATGAGAGTCCAAGGAAACAAGAGTAGGAGGGAAATTTACTTTTCACAGTTTCCTTTTACAGTTTTTCTTTTACTTTTTCTTTTTACTTTTTACAGTTTCACAGTATATTTGATTGTATTCTTAAATCTGTCATTCTAATCATTCCATACATATATACATCTCTAGGGGTCAATTTTGAAGCCAATCGTCCAGAATGCAAACCAAGCATGTGATCGTTCAAGTCCCTGGATAGTTCACCATATCCAATTCAAAGGATAATACATGAATTTATTTATGATGGCATACCTAGATTGCAGTAGAAACAAACCAGCAGTGTTAGCTATCGAAACTGCTGCTCTGAACTGGCCATTAAGGTACATGGATTAGTTGAGCTGCATCTGGACAGACTGAGCAGGCTGTGTGGTGGCCTCTGTTTAGCATGCAGCCACAGACACAGCCATGAATTTCAAAGCAGAGGAAGGGCTTGGTGCCAATGCCAACAGGAGATAAGTAAACCAAGCCTACAGTATTATTTGTCCCTAGGACACCCTCCATTTTGAGTGTCTCTGAAGCCTGTAATTAAACAGGAGGAAAAATAGGCTCTTCACTGGTGAACTCATTTATTAGGCGGTCAGAAGCCTGACTTCCGTCAGTGGAGTCAATGATCTTAAGAAATCCTGGGAAGGGAAACGGAAAACCAGAAGACTAGAAAAGAGATGGAGTGGAAACGAGGACAACATGTCTGGTATAGCTTTGGAAACTGGAACTATGACCAGCCAGATACATAGATTAAATAATTCTTGTGAAAAAAAAAAAAAAAAAAACAACACATGATTTCACAGCAGGTGGCTGACTGGGAGTATGGCAGCTGATTGGAGGTGGAATCTATACTAACAATAATACTGCAAACACCATGACTATATTTGGAGCTAAAATAAAAATTCACATTCATCACCATCTCTCTTTGCCCAGATTGCTATTTATCTGTTGGCTTCTGTGACTTTTTCTACCACTTCCAAAGGCCAGCATGGGAGATTTTGCCTAAGACAGCAGTTCCCCTTGTGCCTTCCCTTCTCAGCATTATGACAGTTTGAAGGTCTTAGAAAATGAAGTCTTCCCATGAATGTCCTTTCACCTTTATTAATTTTAAGCTTTTTATTTTGAGGGAATTATAAATTCACATACAGTTTGAAGAGATAAAACAGAAGTCTCAAATACCCTTTACCCAGTTTTCTCTAATAGAAACATGTTGCCTTATATAATACCACAACCAGGAAATTGATACTGGTGCAATCCACTGCCTGTATGGTTTTTGTAGTTTATGCTTTATTGCCTAAAACTTGTGAATAAACCAGTATTTTTTTTTCAAATGCAAGCATATGTGTGTGGATGTTAGCGAGTTGCTGTCACTAGGAAGTCAAGTTGAAGATGGTTGTCTGCTACTCATAACATGATGTCTTATGTTGTTAAGATTCTATGGACTTATATTTGATATAAGCATGGAAGGGAGGAAAACTCTTGGAAAGAATTGGGAAGAAAGAGTATATAAGATCATACAATATTTATGGAGTACTTGGATGTTGAACTAGATAATCATTATCTTTGTAAGAAGAGAATGGATAGATATATGTTCAATGGTAGAGTGCTGGTCATTTACCCAGCCTTTCTTTGATGCTGGGTAGTAGAAGTAAGTAAATCCTGCAGGAAAGGATGGTCATGAGGTGGTATGAAACTATTATCTGGATCTGCAGCCTGGCAGACGTCCAAATTCCCTGATGCTCTAAAGTTCTATCGATATTTGTCCTTAAAGGTCATGGCATGCAGGTGTTCAAAAAAATTGAAGGACCCAAAATCAAGGGATTAAGTAAGAGTAAACAGAAGTTATGAAAAGAAGTGGGCAATGCATAAAGGAAGATCCAAAGAAAAAGGAAGGAGGCATCAATCACGTTCTTTATAGGAATTAATGGAGCAAGAGAAACTTCTAGAAGCCAGAAGGCCTGAGCTAAAGTCACTACCTTGCCACTAACCAGAAGTGTAACAATAAAACATTTATCTTCTCTTAAAACTGTTTTTCCTATAAGTCAATGATAATAATATTAATTTGTCTCTTTCACATATTTTTTTTAAAGAAATCAACTTGAAAATACCAACATGAAATCATAAAATCAGACCAGGCATAGATATAAGGAATTGATGATTGGAGGATAATAGAATAAAATAAATTCAAAAATCAGTTCATGGAAACTATGGGATCCAGGGTTATGCAAGGAGGACTTTGAATGAGGCAGCATGTCTGGTTGTCCGATTTCATCATTTGGTTCTTCTCCACACTGAGAAGAAATACTGACCAGATTGCTAAACCAAGGTCAATTTTCAGTCTTTATCTTTCTTGACCTAATTGGCAAGTAACTCGACAGGGCAATCACTTTTTCTTTTAAATGCTTTCTTCACCTGGCTTCCAGAACAATACATTTCCTGATTTGCTTCCCATTTTATTGACTGCTTCTCTCCATCTCCTTTGCTGTTTTTTCCTCATCTATCCAGACTGGACACGTTGGAGATGCCCTAAGGCTGAGCCTCAGCCCTCTTCCTTTTCTATTTACATGCACACATTCAGGAATCTCATTCAGTTTCATAGATCATCCTCCACAAACTGAGGACTCCAGAATTCATCTCTCCAATCCAAGTCTCTTCCCTGAACTTGTAGAACCAACTGCCAACTCCATATCACCATTTTGGGTGTCTACTAGACTTCAGCAAATAAACTTGCCCCAAATCTAGCTTCTGATTTTCCCCACCTCTCCTCTACTCTTTCATTCCCATCCACCTTTCCTATCTATACCAGTACATTACAACTGTTTCCTTTTGGTTGTTCAGGCTAAAAAGACTTGAAAACATTTTTTAGTTCTTTCTTCCATATACCATCTGCAATCAGCAAATCCCGTAATCTCTGCTTTCAAAGTATATATAGACCCCTGTCACTTTCATTAGCTCCTCCAGTGACTTATCACCCAAATTACTATCGCGTGTCCCTTGAATTATTTCGATGGCATCTTAGTAGGTCCTTCTGTTCTTACACTTGTCTGCCTACTGTCTACTCTCGTCTGGATACAGCAACCACAGTGATTCTTTTAACTGTAAATTGGATCCTGTCACTCTTCTGCACAAAACTCTTGAGTGGCTTCCTATTTCTCTCAAAGTGAAAAAAAAACAAATCCTTGCAATAGTTTATAAAACCTCTC